TCACTAGATGGCTTCTCCAAGTGAAGCATTGTGTACATCTTATGCTGATGACATGTGCCTGCTTATTCAACACACTTCACTGAACTTAAACACTCAAGAGACACCAAATAGGATGAGATAAATTTTAAATATTACCTACCTCATCCTTCTCCCCTGAGCTTTCCTGCCTCTGCTATTTAAATAACATTCATGAACTTTAATTTTTTTATTCTTAAAACTTGCTTTGAACCAGACTACACTGATAAATTTTCCTTTTGGCTAAAATATTTTTAAAACATTACAATAAAATTCCAGTAGAATTAATTTAAAATGCGTTTATATAGGGCTGAGTTTTGAAGTTGTATGTGACCTTAGACCTTATAACCAGCTATCCTAGTGCGGTAGCAGAAAACACTGATAATGAAATAAAATGTTTGATTACATGTAGGACGAACATTAGCTCATTCTGTATGGAATCAAATGTGCCATGAATTGTGACCTTGAATAAGTAACTTGATTTTCTTCAGGCCTGATTTTTTATTAATTTCATCTGCCTTAAAGTTTTATTTTATCTGCCTCTAAGATTCTGTCTAGACCTAAAACTCTTTATTGGGAAGGCAGAACATGTGTTTTCTCATATCTTTTCTTTCTTTTTTTGATTTAGTATTTTATCTTTCCTGAGTTAACATATAAAAACAATTTTTAACATTGATTTTTAAAACTTTGAGTTCCAGATTCTCTTCCTTCCTCCCACCCCACGCTCCTTTATTGAGAAGACAAGCAAATTTGATGTATATTATACATGTGTAGTTATGCAAAATATATACATAACAGTCGTGTTGTGAAAGAAAACATGGTCAAAAAACCCCTCATAAAAAGAAAATAAAAAAAATTATGTTTCAATCTGTATTCAGACACCATCCATTTTTTCTCTGGGGATGGATAGCATTTTTCATCATAAGTCTTTCAGAATTGTCTTGGATCTTTATATTGCTGAGAATAACTGCATCATCCACAGTTGATCATCTTACAATATTACTGTTACTCTGTACACAGTACATTTCACTTTGTATCAGCCCTGCAAGTCTTTCCAGGTTTTTCTGAGAGCATCTTGCTCATCATTTCTTATAATAAAATAGTATTTCATCATAATCATATAGTACTACTTGTTCAGCCATTCCCAAATTGATGGGCTTCTCCTCAATTTCTAATTCTTTGCCCCCAGAAAAGAGCAGCTATAAATGTTTTTGTACATATAGGTCCTTTTCCTTTTTTTTTTTTAATGTCTTTTAGGATACTGACCTAGTAGTAGTATTGCTAGGTCAAAGTACGCATGGTTTTATAGCCCTTTGGGCATAGTTCCAGATTGCTCTACGGAGTGGTTGACTCAGTTCAGAACTGCACAAACAGCATTAATGTCTTATTTTTTCCCACATCCCCTCCAACATTGGTTATTTATTGTCCTGTTAGCCAATCCTAATAGATATGAGGTAGTTCCTCAAAGTTATTTTAATTTAGATATCATCCCTTCATATTCAATTCACACCTGTGCCCTCTGTCTATATGTACTTCTAGCTGCCCTAATAATGAGAAAGGCCTTGAGTTACAAATATCATCTTCCCAATGTAGGAATGTAAACAGTTTAACCTTATTTAGTCCCTTATGATTTCCCTTTTCTGTTTACCTTTTTATGCTTCCCTTGAGTCTTGTATTTGAAAGTCAAATTTTCTATTCAGCTCTGTTCTTTTTATCAAGAATGCTTGAAAGTCCTCTATCTCATTGAATGACCATTTTTTCCCCCTGAAAGATGATTCTTGGTTGTAATCCTAACTCCTTTGCCCTCTGGAATATCATATTCTTCTGATCCTTTAATGTAGAAGCTGCTAAATCTTGTGTTATCCTGACTGTGGCTCTACCATACTTGAATTGTTTCTTTCTGGCTGCTTGCAATATTTTCTCCTTGACCTGGGAACTCTGGAATTTGGCTATAGTATTCCTGGCAGTTTTCATTTTGGGATCTCTTTTAGGAGGTGATGGATGGATTCTTTCAGTTTCCATTTTACCTTCTGGTTCTAGGATATCAGAGCAGTTTTTCTTGATAATTTCTTGAAAAATTATGTCTAGACTCTTTTTTGGATCATGGCTCTCAAGTAATCCAATAATTTTAAAATTATCTCTTCTGGATCTATTTTCCAGGTCAGTTGTTTTTCCAGTGAGATATTTCACATTATCTTCTATTTATTCATTCTTTTGATTATGTTTTATTGTTTCTTGATTTTTCATAAAGTCACTAGCTTCCATTTGCTCCATTCTAATTTTTGAGGAATTATTTTCTTCAGTGAATTTTTGTGCCTCTTTTTCCATTTGGCCTATTCTGCTTTTTAAGGCATTCTTCTCCTCTTTGGCTCTTTTACCATTTGACCTAGTCTGTTTTTTAAGGCATTATTATCTTCATTATATTTTTGTGTCTCCTTTACCAAGATGTTGACGCACTTTTCATGATTTTCTTGCATCACTTAACTTTGACTTTGTTGTCTTCTTCTGAGTGTGTGTTTTGCTCTTCCTTATTACCATAGTAACCTTCTATAGTCAGAGGTGTTTTTTTTTCCTGTTGTTTGTTCATTTTTCTGGTCTATTACTTGACTTTTAACTCTTTGTTAAAGTAGAGCTCTGCTTCCAAGGTGGAGAGTGCACTGTCCCAAGCTTCAGGGGTTTTGTGCAGCTGTTTACAGAAATACTTCTGGGGACTTGTAAGTTTTCAGTTCTTCCAAGGTGGTATGATAAGGGGCGAGGTGTTTATTCCTTTCTTGGCCTGTGCTCTGGAACTGTGAGGAGGGTCCCCCGTCCACTATGACCACAAGCTCTGCTGTGCTGGTAGTGCTCCTCCTCGCCCTGGGACTGCCACCCAGTACTGGGACTTAGATCCAAGTATGTGCAAAGCAACAGAGTGCTGCCTCAGTGCTAGCAAAAAAACCTCTGTAATCTCCTTCTGCCCAGTTGTTTGGCCCTCTTACCATCTGTGGGCTGAGAGCAGCAGAAGCTGCTGCTGCCGCTGCCCCTGCTGATTCAGTTGGCCCAAAGCCTGTTCCTGGTTTGCTGGGGCCAGGTCTGCGCTGGCACAGCTCGCGCTAGACTGTGCTCCTCTCTCACCCTGGTGCAGCAGATCTTTCCTGCCAACCTTCCAAAGTGTCTTGGGCTGGAAATTTGTTTCACTCTATCTTGTTGTGGGTTCTGCTGCTCAAAAATTTGTTTAGAGTCATTTTTTAAAGGTATTTGGAGGGGTTTGAGGGAGAACTCAGGTGAGTCCCTGCCTTTACTCTGCCATCTTGGCTCTGCCTTTCCCCTCATATCTTTTCCTTGGGATTATGTTTATCTTTTGTCATATTAACAGTGCTCATTTGCAGTTTTTTTTTTGTTTTGTTTTGTTTCATTATTTCCGTTTACATTGTTGTAGTCATTATCTCTGTTCTTGGCTCTGCTTACTTCATTTTGCATCAATTCATGTAAGTCTTCTCATGCTTTTCTTTATTCATCGTATTTGTTGTTTCTTCCAGTACCATAATATTTTTACATTCATATAACACAATTTGTTTAACCATTCCCCAGTTAATGGACATCTATCTTATTTCCACTTATGTACTAATGCAAAAAAGTGCTGTTATAAATAGCTCTCTTGGTGCAATTTTTTTTTTTTTTTTTGGTTAGGCAGTCAGGGTTAAGAGATTTGCCCAGGGTCACACAGCTAGTAAATGTCAAGTGTCTGAGGCTGGATTTGAACTCAGGTCCTCTTGATTTCCCCAGCTGGTGTTCTATCTACTATGCCACTTAGCTGCTCCTGCAAAAAAAATTTTGCTGAATAAGAGACTTTCTTTTTATCAATAACCTCTTTGAGTTATATGCCTAGTACTGGACTCTCTGGGTCAAAAGGTATGGACATTTTTGTCACTTTATTTCCATAATTCCAAACTGCTCTCTCGAATAGTTGAATTGATTCACAACTCTGTCAACAGTGAATTAATGTGTCCATTTTTCAACAACCCTTCCAACATCACCACTCCCATTTTTGTCATATTTGAGTCAATGTACAAGGAAGGTGGGACAAGAAGAATCAGGAAATATTCCCTGGAGGAAATAGCCATTTGGGAGCACAATATGAGGTTGACAGGTTTTTAACAGATAGAGGTGAAAGAGGAGAGAATTCCAGGTATTGGGAATAGTACAGAAAAATGCAGAGAGGTGGGTAGACATGGGATGTGTTCAGGAAATGTTGAATAATCCAATTTAATAAGAAAAAGGACATGGGGAAGAGAGTAGCATGGGATGGGGAAGAAAAATGGGTTGGAGTTTAGATTATAGGGGGTTTTGAATGCCAGGTTAAGGAGTGGGGATTTTATTTGCTAGACAGAGAAGGGAATAAGCATTTATTCAGCACTGCATTATGCTGTGCTAAGAGCTTTACCCATATTATCTCATTTGATTCTCACAACTCTAGGAGGTACATGCTAATATTATCCCCATTTTCAGATGAGGAAACCAAGGCAAACAAAGGTTAAGTAACTTGTCCTGAGTCCCACAGCTTGTACGTTTCTGAGGCCCCACATTCTATTCACTGTACCAACGAATGATTCAATGAGAAGTCATTAAAGAATTTTTTAAGCAGACTAGTGACTTGAAGAAAGCTGACCACTAAGGAGATCAACATGGCATCAAGAAGTAAAATGTATTAAAAAAGATAGAGACTAAAATTGTAGAGACAGGAGACTTTTTCTCAAATACTAGGTAGAGGGGATGGGGGCCCGAACTAACAAGGTGAGATTAGGAAGAAGGAAGAGATATTATGAAAGCAGAATTGGCTGAGTGGATGTGAGGGGAGAAGAAATAGCTAAAATAATTGCAAGGTTTCCAGATTAGATGAGTGAGAGAAAATGAGGTGAAATTTAACGTTTATCAACTAGGGTTGTTTCTGTCAAGATTAAAGAAAGGATAGCTCATGTTACCCTGTGTGTTTTCTTTTTTCAAAGTGCCTTGCTACATGGGAGTCCTTCCTTACAACTCAAACCGACCTTCGTCTGGAAGAAATATCTGAAGATAAACCTTGAGCATACCTAAGGACCTTTTGCCTAACCTTTGGTGATATAGTGCCTACCAACCAAAGACATTCTTCATGGGGTGGGCTGTGTTTAATATAACTGGGTCAAAATGCAGTCACCATTTCTGGAAAGCCAATAATTTGAAAACTCAGGTACTCCAAGGTTCTTACCTGCATTTTGATCATGGTATACGTATATATAGTGCTTAGTTACAATTCATTTATTCCAAAATTTTTGTCTGTAAGTACTTGTGTATGGTAATTGTTTTCTCAAACATTCTGCACTTGGGATGTGACATTTTAAATAGGTTGTAAAGGCTCCATTGAATAAAAACATTTAATAAGAAATGCCTGAATTTCATGAATGGTTCCTATCTGCACCTGACTGTGTTTCAGATGAAATATATTTTCACTAAAGATGTTGTCTACATGTGATATAGAACAGTTTGTGTGTGTGTGTGTGCATTGTTTGAAGGACTGAATAGTGTAACTAAATGAACACAGGGCTTGGAGGGAAATGAGACCTGTATTTGCATCTTATTGTTAATACATATTTACATTGTGGCCACTGAAACTTCGATGAGCCTCAGATCACTCCTCTGTTAGATAAGGGGGTTATATTAGATGGCCTCTGAGGTCCCTTTAAGTGCTATGTGATACCAAGATCTGCTGCAGGAATTAAAGATTATAATAACTAGCACCAACATACTAGAATTGTTGGGCATATCAAATTTGAGAGTTATTTAAAGTGCTATCAGAATGTCAGTATTATCGTCCATCTTTTGGGTGAATTCAGAGATGGGAAATATTACCAAAAAGGATAGCCTTAATTTTCCTAGAAGGTTATCTAAACTATACAACTTTACTTTCATCTTAAGACAACATTTGCCTTGGTTTGGAAAATATGTGCTAACAGTGAAATTCTGTTTTTCTTCTCTAGGGCCTTCTTACATTGACAGAGGAAATCAATGTCATTCCTTTCCCCATTATCCCAATTAAATAAATATGCCTTTCTCAGAAAGTCCTGATGTTGACATTACTGAAGCTTCTGTGGCATTAATTTAAACTGGGAACTTAGATAGTATCTTTCTGAATTTACAGTCTGTGTGATCCGATGTTTATGATGCATTCAATAGCTCTGTGTTCAGGTCTTTTACTATCTTGGTGCCACATTCACAACCTGACAGTACGATGGTGGAGCCTGCCCATGAATTAAGCATGAGTTCACGAGTGTACTGGGAATGTTCATTTTTTATTTCCTTGATATTTCTCAAAAGAATCAGGTTTTTTTGATAATGTGTTTTTATGGTGACATGTTAAGAAGTATTGCATAAGATGAAAGTAATAAGATGAAAAGTGGCCTTCATTAGTAGTTTGGGTAACTGTATGATATAATAAACTTACTAAAAAAAAAAAGCCAGGTAGATTTAAGACAATAGACAGAAAGTTTTGACAATATTTTCCTCTACCAAAGATACCCGTTTTTGTTATACCTTCACAATTAATATATTTTAATATATACTTATAATTAATGTTATATGTCATATAGTTAATGTAAATATATTTTATTTTAGAAAGTACATATGATATACTTTAAATCATTCATTCATTTTTGATTTGTTTATATTAATTTTGCAGTTACATCAAGAAACTGAATTAGTTGACTATTTGCACAGACTTATTTGAAGAGTATACATGTGACATCACTGAGAGGTGGATCATACCTAATGAAAAAAGCTAATCTTGGTTACTTGATCTTGCTGCATATTAAGAAGATTTATTAATTCCTTCAAAATATATTTAAACCCCTACCCTGCATAGAGGACTGTGCATGATCCCTGAGATGACAGTAATTAGCAGGGGAAATAAAAGAGAAAAAACCTAGAATTTGAATTGCATTATGTGACTAAAATAACAAGCATTTGCACTTTGGGTATTTTCTTAAGTACCAAGCATCCAGTAATAGGTATAACAAAAGAGAGGGAGCTTCCAGGAGGAAGCTAGATTGAGAGTTTGGGTATGAATGAAACACTTTTTTACCACCCTAAAACAGGCAGAAAAGGCTCCAAGTAAATAAAAGGTGAGTGATGCATCCAGTAAAAGGGCTGAGTGAGAGGTCCTGGTTATGTTCAATTCTACTTTGTCACCTCAAAATAGAAAGGAATGTGTCAAATAGAGTTTAAAAAGAAAAATAAATAACAGAGGGAGAATAGAGAGAGAGTGGAAAGACAATAACATTATGGAACACCAGCAAGGTAATTCAAAAGAAAAGAAAAATGACCTTTAAAAAAAAAAAACATTATTAAAATAATAAATGCTAATAAAGTTAAAAATAAAGTAATAAAACATTAAAATAATGAATAAATAAGAAATATTAGAATGATAAATATAAGAAATAATAAAAATTGTAAATTATAAATAAAAATAAATAATAAAATAAAAAAAAAAATACAGTGAAGGCAACCAACTAGCATGCTACATTAAAGTCAAATCAAGCCAGCAAGCGTTTACCAAGCACATCATATGTGTCAAGCACTGTGATAAATTGTGGGAATACAAAGAAAATAAAAAACAGTCCCAGCCCAGCCTGCAAGAAGCTCACAATCTAATGTGGAGGGAAACACATGGCAACAATGTACAAAATATATATAGGATACATCAGATGTAATTTCAAAGGGATAGCATTAGCATTTAGGAGGACAGAGAAATATTTCACTCAGCTGAGACTTGAAAGAACCATGGAGGTGGAAGTGAGAATGGAGAATATTCTAAGTATGAGGAATAGTTCGTGAAAATGTATGGAGTTGGGAGATGGAGTCTTGTTTAGGGAAGAGCAAAGAGGCCAGACATAGAATACATGAAGGGGAGCAAGATAGAAGAAACCTGGAAAGGTAGAAAGAGTACAGGTTATAAACAGTTTTAAAAGCAAAAACAAGGTTTTATATTTGATCTTGGAGGTAATAGAGAACCACTGGAGTTGTTTGAATAGAGAGATGATCTGTTTAGACATGCTTTAGAATGATTACTATGGTATTGGGTAGACTAAAGTAGAGAGAAGTTTGAGACAGGGAGACCAACCAGCAGGCTATTGCAATAGTTCAGGTGTGGTGATGAAGGCCTGTAGCAGGGTGGTGACAATATCAGAGGAGACATCTGAGGGTAGGGGCTGTAGGACTTGGCAACAGATGGGATATGGGAGAGGTGAGGAATTGAGGATGATGACTTGGTTGCAAGCCTGGGTAGCTGGGAGGTTGGTGGTGGCCTCTGCACCAATAGAAAAGTTAGGAAGAAGGGAAAATTGGGGGTGAAAGGTAATGAGTTCAGTTTTGGAAATGTTAAGTATAAGATTTCTGTGGAATGTATAATAGTTCAAGATGTTCAATAGGCAGAAATACAAGAATAGAAAGCAAGAGGAGTTAGTGCTGGATAAATAGATCTAGGGATCATCTCCATAGAGATAATCACTGAATCTATGGGAGCTGATGAGATCACCAAGTGAAATAATATAGAAGGAAAAGAGATGAGAACACATGACAGAGCTGTAGGGGGCACCCACAGTTAGCAGATGTTACCTGGATAAAGAGGGAAGAAAATGTTTTTCTTCCTAGGCCTATTCCAGCAAAAGAGACTGAGAGCAAATGGCCAGAGGGATGAGGAACTAGGAGGAGCAGCATCACAATGACTCAGAAGAGAATATTGTGGAGAAGAGAGTGATTGATAGTGTCGGAGACTGAAGACAGGTCAAGGATAAGGATTGAGAAAAGGCCAGTAGAGTTGGCAATTAAGAGATGATGGTTACATGAAGGGAGTAGTTTTAATTCACTAATGAGGTTGGGAAACAAGATTGCAGAGTTAAGAAGAGAGTGAAAGGAAAGAAAGTAGAGGCAATCGTAGATTTCTTTTAAAAGAATTTAGTTGTGAAAATGAGGAGAAATATAGGATGGTAGCTAACTAGCAGGGGTTGAAAGATCTGTTGAGGAATTTTTGAAGATGGGGGAAGACATTGGTATGTCTATAGGCAGGATGGAAGCAGCCAGTGGACAAGGAATGGCTGAAGATTAGTGAGAGAGTGGCAGTAATAGAAGGGACAATCTGGTAAAAAAGAAAATACAACAAATACCATGTAATGGAAAGGTTAATAATAACAGCATGAACTTCTGAAATGTCCCAGAAGAGTAATGAAAAAAGAAACAAAAGAAAAAATTAGAATTCCAAAGAAGAAATTAGATAAATGAATTTTTAGATCAAATGATTATGATGCAAAAAAGTTGAGATATTGAAAAAAAACAGATTTAGACCTAAAAAATGCAGATATGAAAGAAATATTAACTGAATGAAAACAAATGACAATATTAGAAAAACACACATGAACTCTGTAAGTCGAGAAAATTGAGCCTGAATTCGCAGAGATGATCTAAAAGTTATAGTTCTTTTTAAAAAAAAAAAGTTCTGAACACAAAATTTCAAAAAAGATGATGAATTTTTTTTCAGGAAGTAGTATAAACAAGACAAATACAGAAAAATGGAATCCACGTAATATCAACATGGAGGAACCCTAAATTTAATTCAACCATATACATCTGGTCAAACTCTTAGAGCTTCCACAGCAAATAATAAGCATATCATATCAAGTAGATAAGAGAAAACTCAAAAGTCAAGGAACAATATTCCACCCTCCTCATATATGATAAAGTATATGTAGGATGGGGCAGCTAGGTGGTATAGTGGATAGAATTTGGGGCTTGGAGTCAGGAAAACGAGTTCAAATCTGGCCACAGAAACTAGCTGTGTCACCCGAAGCATCACTTAACTCTTCTTTGCCTCAGTTTCCTCATCTGTCAAATGAGATGGAGAAGGAAATGGCAAACCACTCCAGTATCTTTGCCAAGGAAACCCATTAAAGGGGTAGGAAAAGAGCCAGACAGGACTGAAAAATGACTTAACAACAAATACTTAGAATGTCGTTTTTCAAAAGTGAAGGAAAAAGTGTGTAAAAATATATTCCGCTAAACAAAACTTAGGCATTAGTGAAAAAAAAATATGGACTTGAAACAAATGGGAAGAATTTTACTTATTTCAAAAGAAAGAAATGAGCAAGAAATCTGAAATGCAATCATTTTAATCAAAACATTTAAAAAGCTAATCAAATCCAGCTCGCAAAAAAAAAACCTAGAATTCAAACTAATGCTTTCATGTGTTTAGTACTATAAAAGGCCATTGTTTTTTAAATCTCACATTCTTTCAAAGCCATTGGACAAATAAAGAAAGAACATCTATGTGGATACTTTGAGGGAAAGTCAAAAGAATAGGGCTAATTCTAAGTTGATATCCCACATAGAAGTCAATATTGTACTCCATGAAATACATCTACGTTTTAAGAAAACTTTAATGAAAATATTTTGTGGGAAGTTCTATCTTAATTGGATATTTTTTTTTTCTGAACTTCATGAATAGTGGCATATACACATCACCAAAAACTATCAACAATCAGTGTGCCGGTCCAAACCGCGCACACTCTTTCAACCAATTCAGCCAACCAGGGTCATACTCACCATATCATCGGAGGCCACCCGGGTAAACCAGAAACGAGCCGATCAGGGGGTGCAAAAACCTGAACTTTATTCATTTATCATCACAGCAAGGCCAGGCAGGAAGGTACACAGGCCGACTCCGCCCCCCCCTCCCTGCAGCTCTTTTTAGTACCTTCTTCGAACCTCCTCCTCAGCCCTCCCATAGTGACTCGTTGAGGATCAAATATCAAAAAGGGATGTCCAGTGCTAGTGTCCAGACAAAGGGAGCATATGTGGCACAGGAAGTGGGTCCCAGAGATTTGGAAGGAGGCGTGAGGGATTAGTGCATAGTCAACGGAGAGTACACGTGACGCAGGAAGTCGGGTCCAGATACCGGGGGGAGGTGTCTGGGGTCGGTGCTATACCTAGGGAGCATACGTGACTCAGGAAGTCAGGTCCAGATACCGGGGGAAGGTGTCTGGGGTCGGCGTACTGCCTAAAGAAGGAGGCTAGACAGAGAGAGTTCGCT